ATTATGAAAAGTCTGTTTGGTTAACATTTTAGGAAGACCATTTCGCACTTTACGCGATACGAAGAATTCAATTGATTGCATCGAAGAGGCTGGCGCGTTAATGAGATGAAGATCGTTTAAACTTGCTCTGTTTTTGTCGCGATGACGAGAGATTGTGTGAGTAAGTAGATAAGAGGCATGCAACGATGGTACTTGAGACTTTAACATTAAATATTTATGCGATACCGCTGTGTGTTCTTCGTGTAAGAACTACACGATAAATATTTCGTTTTACAGTATGTATAAACTTGAAGAATAATGAGTCGGACTCGGTGGAAATTCATTTTGAATGATCGTTAACATCGGTACTTTAGAAAAATTATATAGATGACGACTATAATCACTACTGTTACGAAATACTGTCTATGAAAATTGATTACACCCTCGATAGCAAAGATCATCTTCCATCTAATATCCATAAATGTCACTGTCGAGGTCGCGATATAGTATAGCCATAATGTTTTCACGCAAATAGCAATGTTCACAGTAACCAGCAAACATAAAGATCCCAGAACTTCGACGAGGCATAAAAGAACTATTCGATTCGGGGAACTTCTACGAAGGATAATTTCGTTACGCGTCCGTGGTTAGACGCCTGCAAGCTTGCACGCAAGCGCAAAAGATCTTCATTCAGCCTCTCAACGCGAGTAATTCTATCATTCCCATGTACATGATGAATGTATACCTTAATTATTAAAATCCATTGAATTACTAAGATCGTCCAATGGTTAAGATCTCTTAATTATTAAAGTAATTTGAATGATTAAGACCTCTCAATTACCAAAACGATTGACACCTACGATTCCTCGACACTGTTCTTACCAACACAATCTCGAAACCAAGGAAAATCCTAAAAACCATCTTAACTCAAACAAACTACAACATCATCAACTCCAACCGCAATTTCAAAAGGAAACCATTAAAACAAGGGTTAAAGATCCCATCTCCAGAAACAAATCATTAACCCTTTCCGGACGAATGTCGACGTTCCGTCAGCAAATGTTCACATTTACAAGGTCGTGAACAAATGATTTAGCTACTCAAACGGCAAGAGATCGCTCCGTAGTTTCCACTTGCCAACTGCTTAATACTAGATTTACGGAGCCGTCAATTCTACGGATACTGAGTGTTTTACGAATGATTTAGTAGCAGTTCGACTTCGATTCGTGCAATGCGAATACAGATTGCAGTACTCTACCCATTTTCGCGACCTATATAAACGAGCACGTAGTGTTCTAGAACCAATAGAACAAAGTGTGGAATAAACATCCGTGAATCTAATATTAAGCAATCGATCTATAATTCAGCATGATCCGCTGTTACGTCAATGTCAAAGAATGTTCGTCCGCAAACGGTTAAACTGTTGTTGAAACGAGTCGCGGCGCGCCGTAATATCTACCTGCGGTGTACCCAGTCGGCATCGGTCCGTTGTAGCGCGGGTTACTCTCGATCGCGGCCGCGATCGGCGGCGGCTCGTAGCCGCCGTAAACCGGGTTCGCGTTATCGTAGCAAAAGTAGTGCTGCTGCTGATAAAAGTGGCCCCCCGCCGCGTACGCCTCGACGTAGTTGCAGCAGTCCATCTCTGCGACAAAAGGCGGACCTTATCGGACGCGCGCAACCGATGAACACCACTTCCACTGCCTCTCTTCGGTACTCGCTAGCTCGCTAGCTCGCTTGCTTATCAGGCGTTTCGTTCGCGGGTAAATACCAAGCGGTCGCTCGTTTACTCGCGCACGAGAGGAAGAGAGATCCCGAGACGCTTTGAAACCCGCGGATAAAAAGCTATCTCTCCTCTCTTCTGTATCTTGCCCTTTCAAGTCCTACAATCTCATGAGAAAAAAGTGATCCGGAAGAATCGCGGAAATTGGCCCCCGTTTTCGTTAGCTACTCCTCTAGAGTCCTTCCCTTTCTTCGTTTGCTACGCGTCTCCCGCTGTTGTTCCCCATTCTATCATTAAATTCTATCAACGCGTCGAATCGAATTTACGTGGGAAGACCACGCACGAGGTGGGCGAGCCGGGAGCCGTTCGATCGGCCTCCTGCATTCCGTCGGGAAGACCCCAGCGTTTGTAATTTGGTCGCGCGTGGCGTCATCGTCGTCCCCGGCGACGTTGTCCTTGTCCTCTCGGTCGTCATCGCGTCGTCCTCGCCTGGACCTGCAGCCGTTCGTTTCACTGCCGTCTCGGCCGCCGCCGCCGCCGCCGCCGCTGCAGCCACCCCTGACTAACTATAGCACGGCCGATCGCATCTCCAGGGCCACGCGGCGGCACGCCGATCCCACGGTGCACACGATTCGACGTATCCGACCAGCCGCGTCATGGTAGCTGCACCGGGGACGAGAGATCGATGCTCGAAGCTTTTTCTCTTCCTCCAACCCTTCACCGCTCCCGTTTTACCTCCTCTAATCGGCTCGCCGGCTACGCACCCGCGGAACACACACTCTCTCTCTCTCTCTCTCTCTCGCTCTCTTTCTCTCTTTCTCTCTCGCTTTCTCTCTCTCTCTCTCTGTCCCTGTCGTTCTCTCACCACTGAACTCTGCGTCGAGACCTGTCTCGCTCCCTCTCGCCTTTCGATCTGTTTTCCCTCGTCGTTCTCTTTCTCTCGACGTGCAAGCTTCTTCGCTACGATCACATGGTCCGGATGAAACAACGGGATTCTAGACGGTACGTCCTTGATTATGGTGGTAAGTTATGGTTGAAAGTTTGCTGGGTTTCGAATGTTACCTTTTGTTGTCCTGGCTTTATAACTTGCGATCTTGTTCGGCTTGATCGATGACACTTGCAAGTTTCGCGGTAGTCTCGATCGAACTTGATTGGTGTTTGTTTTCAACGATTGTTTAATTAGTTTCTAGCGTGAATCGCTGGTGGAGAGTGGATTGCGAGCTGATCGAGGTACTTTGATCGATTTATGAATCATCGAGGCGACAACGGCAGCTCGCCGGGGTCGAAGATCGTTAAACGGAAGTGTCAGGCGAATTGATCTGTCGGTCAAGCTTCTGTGTAACCGTTTACACCCCCTCCCGACCGGTGTTGATCAAATTTATCGTTCCGAATTCACGGTGCAGTTCCCGACGCAGTATTCGTACTTTCCCTCCCTCCAGGATTCATGCCCCCCCTCCCCCCTCCT